ATGTTGCGCTGAGTTCTTTGAACTATCAGACTTGTTGCAACATAAGAAGAACTGCACTACTAAAAATCAATTGGTTCTAATTGTGAATGAAAATCCAGCACCACCCGCTGAAGCCACCTCACCAAGTCCCCTCTCAGATAATCCTGATGAGCACATGAATGACACAGTTAATAACGCAGATCAAGCAGACTGCAGTGACCTTTCAGAGCATAGCAAGCCTGACAAAGAAGATGATTCTATGGAGGTGGAGCTCTCCGGAGTCAGCAATAGCAGCAGTGGTTCCAACAAATTGGACGACAATGTTCCAAGTAGTAATAATTCCACCTTGGGTACCTCAGCTACCACAACCTCACTACCTCAAGTAAAGGATCTGACAACCTTGGGGAATTTTTCTGTAATAAATAGCAATGTTATCATTGAGAATCTTCAGAGTACAAGGGTGGCAGTGGCACAGTTTTCCCAAGAAGCCAAATCTACAGGGGCACCCAAAAATAAGCTGGCTGTGCCTGCACTCATGGAGCAGCTTCTGGCATTGCAGCAGCAGCAGATACATCAGTTGCACCTAATAGAGCAAATTCGTCACCAAATATTACTGCTGGCATCACAGAATGCAGAAATACCTGCATCTACGAGTGGGCCTCAGGCGCCATTGATGGTATCAGCCACTCCATTAACCACGCTGAGCTCCCACCTGTCCCAGCAGTTGGCTGCAGCAGCTGGCTTAGCACAAAATCTTGCAAGCCAGTCTGCCAGCATCAGTGGTATGAAACAATTATCCTCAATACAGCTACCTCAGAGCAGCCCAGGCAACACAATTCCATCCACCAATACATCTTCTCCCAGCATGAATGCATTATCTGCAGTAGTTACCACACCTTCATTAGAGAAAGCCCCTTTAAACACTGGTGGCTCACAGCCCAGTAATCCACCAGCACCTGTTACATCCGCACCAACATTTGCAATAAGCAGTTTATTGAGTCCTGCGTCCAATCCACTACTACCTCAACCTGCCACCAATAACCCAATTTTTCCGAACACCTTGCCCAGCATAGGAACAACAGCAGAGGACCTTAACTCCCTGCGAAAAGGGAAGCCCCCAAACGTGACCACTTTTGAAGCAAAGAGCTCATCTGATGAAGCTTTCTTTAAACACAAATGTAGGTTTTGTGCAAAGGTATTTGGCAGTGACAGTGCCTTGCAGATCCATCTTCGTTCTCACACTGGTGAAAGGCCATTTAAATGTAACATCTGTGGAAACAGGTTCTCCACCAAAGGGAATCTAAAAGTTCACTTTCAACGACACAAGGAGAAATATCCTCATATACAGATGAATCCATACCCTGTCCCTGAACACTTAGACAATATGCCTACAGATACAGGAATTCCATATGGGATGTCAATCCCACCTGAGAAGCCAGTAACAAACTGGTTGGACACTAAACCGATTCTAACAACACTGACCACGTCAGTGGGTATGCCACTCCCACCAACAATTCCAAGCTTGACACCATTTATTAAAGCAGAGGAAACCCAGCCTGTTTCCTTAATTCAGCCTACTGTTAGTCCCTGTGATTCAGTAAAAAGAGATATACCAGCTGCAGAGCCAGTTCAAAAAAAAAATGACAGTCTTCCCGATGAGGCCAACAAATTGGCAAAACCGGAAGACAAAAGTGAAGAGCTGTCTCAGCATTCGAACAGTTTCTCCAATTTTAACACATCTGTCTGTTCTCCTGCAGCTGAGACAGGACCCATTAGCACTGCCACTTTCCCAAACCCACTTTTGCCTCTGATGTCAGAGCAATTCAAAGCAAAATTTCCATTTGGAGGACTTCTGGATGTAGCACCTGCATCAGAGACTTCAAAACTTCAACAACTTGTAGAGAACATTGACAAAAAGGCAAGTGACCCAAATGAGTGTGTTATTTGTCACAGAATTTTAAGTTGCCAGAGTGCTCTAAAAATGCACTACAGGACACACACCGGAGAAAGACCATTTAAATGTAAAGTCTGTGGCCGTGCTTTTACAACAAAGGGTAACTTAAAGACCCATTATAGTGTCCACCGTGCCATGCCACCTCTTAGAGTCCAACATTCATGCCCCATTTGTGAAAAGAAATTTACCAATGCTGTTGTACTACAGCAGCACATCAGGATGCATATGGGAGGCCGCATACCAAATCTTCCTGTTCCTGAAAATTATCCTGATTCTATAGAATCTGATACTGGGTCATTTGATGAGAAAACTATAGATGATCTAGACAACTTCTCTGATGAAAACATGGAAGATTGTCCTGATAGCAGTGTCCCAGACACGCCTAGATCTTTAGATGCATCCCACGATAGTCTTTCTTCCTCACCATTGCCCCCTGAAATATCTAGTATTGCTGCTTTGGAGAATCAGATGAAGATGATCAGTGCTGGGCTTGCTGAGCAACTTCAAGCTAGCCTAAAGTCTACGGAGAATGGCTCTGTTGAGGGTGATGGTATGACTAATGACTCCTCATCTCTTGGAGGAGATATGGATAGCCAGGGTGCTGAAAGCCCAGCTCCCTCTGAGTCTACTTATTCAATGCATGCTTTATCACCTTCAAACAGCACAAATGACTACATAAAGTCACCAAACACAGAAGAAAAGCAACAAAGAGCTTTGCCTCCAGAATTTCCCAATGGAATGTCACCCACTCCTGCTAATGGAGGTGCTTTGGACTTGACTTCCAGTAACACAGATAAGTTTGTGAAAGAAGAACCTTTGGGTTTACTTTTTCCATTCAGAGAGCGGAGTAAATTCAAGAACACAATCTGCGATATTTGTGGCAAAACATTTGCATGTCAGAGTGCCTTGGACATTCATTACAGAAGCCATACCAAAGAGAGACCATTTATTTGTACAGTTTGCAATCGTGGCTTTTCCACAAAAGGTAATTTGAAGCAGCACATGCTGACACACCAGATGCGAGATCTGCCATCGCAGCTCTTTGAACCTAGCCCCAACTTGACCAACTCTCCTGCTCCTCCACCTCCCAATCCACTGGCGACCATAATAAAGACTGAGTTTAATGGTTTCATGCATGGCTCTCCTCAGGACAATAAAGAACAGACTTCTAGTATAATTTCTTCAGGATCTTTACCATCTTCCGCCACATCCCCAGTTCTCCTTCCAAGCATGTCCAGAAGGACTCCCAGGCAGCATTACTGCAATGCATGTGGAAAATCCTTCTCTTCCTCCAGTGCTTTACAAATACATGAGCGGACCCACACTGGTGAAAAACCATTTGCCTGCACAATCTGTGGAAGAGCATTTACGACAAAAGGCAACCTTAAGGTAAACTTCTATATATATATATATTTTTTTATTTTTGCATGTCTACAAAACTTAGTGTAAGTGATTTTACTATATTTTATACAGTTCCATAGGTGTAGTCATTACTAAACTGATATTTTGATATACTCACTTTACCAAAAATGATAAATCAATGGGATGACATTGCTCAGAACCCTACCAATTCTTCTACATTTCATTTCAGTTATTGGTTGCAGTCTACCCATATGAAGCTCCATAGCGAATTACTAATGAATTGAGCTGAACCCCCTTATCTGCAAACCTAAACAGTCTATTGCATTTTCTTGAGTGATTTAAATTAAAGAAAATCAAACACAAACCATCAGCATTAAGTCAAATCCTTAGATTATAGTATAAATCCTCACCTTGAAATTTATCAAGTTCTCAGGTTAAGCATTTTCATCATGATAAATATACCCAAATCTAGGTATTGCTAGTATAACTAGTAATGACTCATATGAAATCTTATCACATTATTGATCAATTACTTGTTTATCATACTATTCTGCCACTTAAGACCCTTGTGATTTGACGTCTCCTACTCCTTTAGCGTAGCAGGGTTCTATAGAGATGATATATGCATTTTATAAAAGGTAATTCTTCCCAGCATATAACTTTTTATGGATCAAAAATTACACGAATTGTCAATATCACTTAAAAAGCTAGAGAAATTATGAACACATATCTGTAATCAGAACACGAAGGTGGTGTATTTCTATTGGTTAAACCTATTAATGATCAAGATTCAAAAGTGGCAGTTACAAATGAATGGACAATCTATGTCCTCTCCCTAATTTGTGCATTTTGACTGCATGTTTGCATCTGGAAAAAATTATCCTATAACTTTACAGTTTATTGTTGTGGAGTTTTTTCCTTTTTTTTTTTTTTTTTTTTGTGTTTTTTTTTTGAGCCTGCAGTTGGTAAAAAGTAAAACTGCAGATTATTTAAGTTTAAGTTTAAAAAAATTGTACAAAATTTTCAGCTCCTACAGAAGGCAAACTTTCTTGTCTTTTGTGGCTTTAAAAAAAAAACATTTTTCTCGTTCTTTCTCTTGTGGTGAAGATGCCAGCCATTCCTGATGCCAGTTTGCCTAATGCTAGTTTAGCTGAAAAAGGATCCACTGAAAACCATTTTAACAGGTCCTATATATTTACTTACTGGGTAAATAAAATTAATACCCATCAATTAAATTTTGACCATTATTAACATGGTCCCATGTGATGCCACATCACAAGGGTCTTAAGTAGCAGAGTAGTATGATAAACAAGTAATTGATCAATAATGTGCTAAGATTTCATAAGACCCATATATATATGTATGTGAGTGTGCGTGTGTGTATGTGTATATATGTAGTTTTAAAATTTCATAAGACTCATATATGCATATATGGGTCTTATGAAATCTTAGCATGTTATTGATCAATTACTTGTTTATCATACTACTCTGCTACTTAAGACGTATGAATGTGTGTGTGTGTGTATATGTGTGTATGTGTATATATATATATATATATATATATATATATATATATATATATATATATATATATATATATATATATATATGTATGTGTGTATGTATATGTATGTGTGTGTATATGTGTGTATATATGTATATATATGTATGTATATATATATGTATATGTGTATATATATGTATGTGTATATATATATGTGTGTGTATATATGTATGTATGCACTCACGGATTTCCAAAAAATAATTAAAAAGATGAAATTTTATTAATCCATATGTTAAAAAAGCTGCTTCAACGTTTCAGTCCTTGTCTGGGACTTTCTTCCTTTTTTTTTTTTTTTTTTTTTTTTTTTTTTTTTTTTTTTTTTTTTTTTTTAAAGCTTGTTGTAGTTTCTATGACGCCTGAAGCTTCTCAGTTTATTTTAGCTTTATTTGACAAAACATGAACTGAGACTACAGGAATCCTTTCTTAATGCTTTATAGTTGCTTCCCAGAATAAACACTGAAAATCATGAAAGGGTTGAAAATAAGGTTTAAGCATTAGTTGAGTATATGCAGACTTGCTCATCTATCTTAATTTTATTTTGAAAGTATGAATCTGGTGTGTGTTTCCTTTTAACTTGAGTCATTAGCAGCAGTAAGTCTTAAAATGTATTTTAATAAATGGTTGCATATGTTTCTTCCTTTTAAACTACCCTTTACCCTCTAGTCCTTTTTATAAAATGGTGATCTATTCAGACAATCCAGAATTTTGTGTATTCATTAAATATATAATTGATTTTTATTTTTTTATTTTTTATTTTTATATTTAGTGCTGAAAGTCTAGAATATATGGAAGTGTATATATTTTAGCTATATCTCAGACAAATTTTACTTTTAACAAACAATACTTTAAAAAATTAAAGTCTGGGCTTTTGTTGCAAATGTCCAAATTGGGCCTTCTCTAACTCCGTTTTGGCCTAATGTTTGCATTTCCTTTCTAAATTTTCAACAATCTCCAGTGAATAATTCAATGTGAATACCTTGAAAAGCTGGATTTTTCTTTAACTTAAGTGTTTTGATGAAGACACTGCAAGTCCTCAGCTTCTCTGACTCTAGTTCTTAAACAGTAGCAAAGCACTTAAATGTGTATACATAGTGTTGACAGATAATTTCTCCAGAGATTGCTGTCAGACATGTGAGATGAATAATTACTTTAAAACTATCCCGTTCAAGGAAGAATTCAGCGAACAATTAGAATTATGATCTATTTTGTTGTTGTGCGTGTTTCCTTAAATAGTGGTTCCCCTCTTACAGATTTTATTTGTATTTTTATATTTATATATATATATATATATATATATATATATATATATATTTCACTAAAGTTAGTTTTTCTTGCAAGCCAACTTAAAAAAAAAAGATTGAAAATTTTGAATTGTGCATTTATTTTTAATTGTTTAATTCCAAGGATTTATTTTCATTAATGGGCCTAAAGCTAATAAATCACATGCAAATTTATGCTGCGTTACTTAAGCAAATGCAGAGGCAACATGCATACATTTGTGGCATGATTCTTTAGGAAAGTTTCACCCATCCTTGTCCGTTCACTGCAACTCACTGTTTAGTGAATAAACACGTGTTGTTCACAGTAGATTTTGGCTGGTGTGTGTTCCTTTCTGCTCATGGCCTTATAACAATGGACCTTTTGAACTGAACGTAAACAGCCATCCATGTACAATAGAATGTTTGTTTGTATTTGTCAATTTTAGTAAATGTCAATTGTTTTGCTGGAACCAACTGATTAAATTTACTTTTCTTTTATGGGTTTAGGATAGTCTGTCATTTATTTATTTTTCATTTGTATTAAAATAAATTACAAAATGTTCTCTTATTTGCATTTAGGTACATATGGGAACTCACATGTGGAATACCACACCTGCAAGGAGAGGAAGAAGACTTTCTGTGGATGGACCCATGGCTTTTATAGGAGGAAACCCTGTAAAGTTTCCTGACCTCTTCCAGAAGGATGTGGTTGCAAGGACTGGAAATGGGGATCCATCAAGCTTCTGGAACCAGTATGCCGCAGCATTGTCAAATGGCTTGGCCATGAAGACCAACGAGATCTCCGTCATTCAGAATGGTGGCATTACTCCAATGACTGGAAGCTTGGGAAATGGTGGGAGTTCTCCAATTGGTGGCTTGACTGGAAGCCTAGAAAAACTCCAGAGTACAGAACCAAATGCACCTCTAGCTGGTCTGGAGAAATTGGCGAGCAGTGAAAATGGGACATCTTTCAGATTTATGCGTTTTGTGGAGGACAACAAAGAAATTGCCACAAACTAGCACATTTACTCTGAGGACACAAGATGCAGCCACGGGTTGCTGGTTTTTTTGTTTTTTTGTTTTTTTTTGTACCATGTTAAAATTCTAGAGTTTTAAGTGCGTGTATTTATTAGTGATAACCTAGCTCTGCATAAAAAAAAAAAAAAATGCAAGCATTAACTTTGGTCTCTGTATTTTGAACTGAATACTAATAGACTAGAGTTGTGTAAATTTGCTGTAACATTTATGGCAACTTGCAATCTTGATAGTTGATCTTTGGCATTAACTTATTTTATATATTCTAGGTTAACATGGTTCCTGGTGTTAATGCATAAAGCAACATGGGAAATGGACTTTATGTATTGTAAAATAATGCACATTTTAAGGAACATTTATTTCTCATTTGCAAATAACTTTTTGGCGAGGAGTTGAAGAGGATGATTGCAAGACTGTACCGTGCAAACGTGGACACTTTGGATTTAAATTTTTTTTTTTTTTTTTTAAGGCTTGTGTTTTTTAAATTTTTTTTTTTTTTTTTTTTTTAAGTAGTTTGTTTTGTGCATTTTAAATGTCTCCACCTTGTATAGATCTGTGTACAGTGAGCACGAAGATTATTTGAGAAAAGATAAAGTGTTTTTATTTGAATTTTTTGGGTAGGTGCAACTGGCATACTGCATTTTTTTTTTTTTTTTTTTCCGTTTCTTTGCCTTGTAGGTATATTCATTAGAACATGTGCTGGAATTTCACAATTGCTGCTAAGTATAGCATCTTGAACAACCTTCTGTGGAAAAATAAAACTGTAGATGCTTGTATATGTGTGTGTGTATATATATACATACACATATGAATATAAGTCAGGAGGTATTATTTCAATATAATATGACCCTTCTGCTGTCAGGTGGCCCAGTTTGCGTTGATATGTATTGCAGGTCTGTCAGGCAGTGTACAGGGTTAATTAAAAAAAATGCCTACTATTCTTTCATGGAAATCAAAATGTTTGGCTCATTTTGTAACAATGAAAAAAAATGGACATTTATGCACTTTCTTTAGAAAGTTGGAATCCAGCTCCGTTAATGTTTTACTGATGAATAGCGGACAATACTGTAATTTTAATTAAGTAAGCAAATACAACAATTTTGTAACATACGGTGTGTGTTTTTAAGGTATAATCGCCCACAATTTGTGTGGCAGATCTGGTTATTGGTTCAGTTTTAACCAATTATATTCAGAGAAGTGCAAAGTCAGTGACTTGAGTTGTTTAAAATTTTTATTATATATATATATATATATATATATATATATATATATATATATATATATATATATATATATATATATATATATATATATATATATATATATATATATATATATATATATATATATATATATATATAATTTTTTTTTTTTTTTTTATTGGCTTCTTCTCTTTAGTGGTTTGGTAAATTTTAAAGCAGTGTCACCAGTTAAAAATTTTTTAAAAAGCAAGAGTATGCATATTTCTACTACTGATAAAAGGTTTAAAATACAAATATGTAATATATGACCAGGGTTTTTCATTAGACTTTGTTACAACCCAGCTGCTATATATATTTTTTTTAAATTATAAAATATGTACTATTAACGGCAAGATATACACATGGAAATCATAGATCCTGTGCAATGGAGTGTGCAAATGGCATTATAGAAGGAAATAACTTTGCATCTTCGAAAGATGTTGGTTCCACTATGCATTTATGCTATGGCAGTAAGTCTGCCCAGCAATTAATTTTTTTGGACCAGGGGAGAGGGTACGTTAACGAACTAAAATGTGATTGGAAAAATAATTGAAATATTAAAATATACTGAAATTTCCTAAACCATAAATTTTTAAACATAACTATGGGTATTGACAAGCAACTAGTGAAATAATTTATATTTAAAATATTACACTTTGTTTATCCTCCTACATGCTTATTATAATCATTAAGGGGACGCTCCATTCCTCAAATAAAAATAAAATATAAAATCACTGTTTAGTACATATATACCCGATTAAAAATGCATGAATTTAATTACAAGATCCCAAAGCAGCTCAATGAGAAGTCTTTGCATGGCAGGTGCTCAGAGCAATTGCTGCCTCTTGAGCTTAGCTACTCTGAGCTAAACAACCAGGAAATAACATAACCTTGTTACACCACCCTGGCTGTCAGACAATTCGTTAATTTTTAAAAGGGCCAATTTCTAATGAAATTTGCTAGTACACACTCTTAGCACATAACGTACTTCTTATAATTGGTTATATAGCCCCCATTTTTAATTGTAATATGGACTTTTAAAGGGACACTAGAGTCACCAAAACAACTTTAGCTTAATGAAGCAGTTTTGGTGAATCAATCTGTTTAAGAGTTAAATCACTTTTGCGTCAGTTTATGCAGCTCTACCCACACCTCCCCTGGCTGTGACTTACACCACCTGCATAAAAACAAAATGGTTTCACTATCAATCAGATGTAACTTACTTTAAAAGTTTTTATCTCCTGCCCTGTAAACTAAACTTTAATTAAATACAGGAGGCTCGTGCAAGGTCTAACAAACTATTAACTGTGCAGGATATAAATTCTAAATTAAACAGAATTTGCAATAAAGGAAGTGTAAACATTAGATGACTCTACAGGAACTGTTTAGGAAGGTTGTACAAGTCACATGCAGGGATATGTGACTAGGGCTGCATAAACAGTGATTTAACTCCTTTATGGCTGAGAAATTAGCAGGGAGACTTGGGAATGATCTATCCACCAAAACTGCGTTATTAAATTGAAGTTGTTTTTGGTGACTAATGTCCCCGTATGGTTTTACTTGTTCCTCGTGCACACTCCAGTTCCTATTTAAAGTAAAAACTGATTTGCTACTATTTCCTTACACATAGTAGTATCAGAGAAATCTGTTTAAACATTTTTACACTCCTTTCCTCATTTGTCTGTATTCTATACTAAACACAATTTAGAAATTTTTCTAGTAGATTGTGAAGAAGGTAAATAATTCACCTGGCAGAATCTACCCTTTGTTAATTTAAATGTACAAAAGATGTAGCATTAAGGGGTCGAAAACCTTACAATTAAATGACGTTCATTTATATTGGCTAGGATCTATGAGGATGTTCAGATGTAACATAATGCTTGCTCTCATCATTCAGGCTGGTTACAGAGGTGGAAACTAGGCTTGTGCACAGCCAAAAAATTTGTATGTCCGAATTAATTCAACACCACAAAAAAATAATTAGGTAGGACTGCATGTGACAAATTTCTAAAGTACAGACAATGAAAATGGCGAAAACTTTTTAGTGTACTGCAATATGAAAAAAAAATAGCTTCTTCATTCTCTAACCATTTTTCAGATGCCATGGACGAAACTTCAAATCACAAAACAAAAACTGCCTGTTTCATGAGTCGTCCAGACGGCATTTAAATATTCGAACTGATTTTAATTAGTTTGAAACTAAATGCACAAGTCTAGTGGAAACACTGATGTACCACTTGTGCCTCCTCTCGAATTGGTCTGGCAATGCTTTGCTGTAGAATGCACTGACACCCTAAACCGTTCTCAGTTTCCCCCAGAGCTGGAATATAGATAGCACATAAATAACTTAAGGTCAGTGTATATTAAATAGCAATGTTTAATTCCTCCATGTCCTTCCATTTTTTTTTTTTTTTTTTAATTTTTTTTTTTTTTTTAGAACTTCTAGTATAAAAAGAAACAAAATACCTAGAATACAGTCTTATAAAATATAACTGAAAAGAAAAATGTACATGCATATTTAATGAACACTACTAGGTATGTTAACATATTTTCTCATTTAAAGTCAATGTGAATTTTGAGAAATTTAAAGTGAATTTACATATTATGCCAAACTGAACATTTAGTAGACTTCCCACAACTAAAGATGAGCTATTTTGGTCTAAAATATTTTCAATTCCCACTTGCAAGCATAAGACAATCTGGAGTCAAGTCTTCCAGCTATCTGAGATCTAAAGTAAAAGTAACAGGACAAGTTGAGCATATTGGAATCAAAATGTGTGTGTGTGTGTATAGATATATATATATATATAAAACATGAAATTCTAGGTCATTGCAAATTTTACTTTTTATTACTACAGAAATCCAGTATTTTAAAGGGCTGCAAATTATCATTTGTGCATTTTTTTTTGAGTCGGTGATGGTAATTTCAGCTTTATTGAGATTCAAACAAATACACAGCTTTGATTTCAATGTATTTAACTTCTTGTTGTGGGTCTTATCAGATCACTCTCAAATGAAGCAATGCTTAATGCATTATAAGGCGTTGCCAGCAACTATCCTAACTTTTTTTTTTATATACTCTTAGTGCTATTTACTATTATAATCCTATATACCAGGCCATTATTTTTTTAGAACTGGCTATGGAGAGGTGAGAAGTTCAGTTCCCTAGAGCACACCACCTCCCATGTGTTTTCCAGGAATATCTCAAGAGGACACTTTTGTCTTGCAAAAAAAACAACATATTTGTGTGCGGGGAAGAGGACAAATCATATAAGGCCCCCATACTGTTTCTTTCTTGTGTGGTCAACTGGCCAGATGTATAAATGACATTAGAGCACAGATGAGCTACTGACAAAGGCCCAGCTCTTAAACGGATTCTGGCCCCAAGGGATAAACAGGTGGAGCGTATCACATAGATCACCGGGGTAATCAGTTTGACCCCACCTTCATCTATTATATTCCCTAGTAATTGAATCTATATCAAGATGCCATATTATTGCTTTTTATGGTCTGTGTAGTGTTGAGATTTAATGAATGGAATCATTTAAAAGTGGGTTTGGCTGTAATGAGAACCCAACTACCATTATTCCTTGCCAACCTGAAGACTAGCAAAGCATCATAGGAGTCGTAGTTCAAAAACAACTGCGAGGGGTCTTCACTCTTATTTATAAGTGCTTTAAATTAGGGGTAAAAAAATTGTAGATTGCTAGAGGCAAAATTACAACTCCCATGATGCTTTGCCAGACTTTATAATGGAAAAACATTGTGGATCCTGTAAATCCAAAATGTCTGGGGCTCTACCATTTGAGCTCTCTTACTTTATATCCTATTAAATAAGTTTATAGGACACGGCGCTATTAAATTGCTTTCTCAAAACTCCACTAGAAGCACTGGACGTTTTCTGTTTGCTTGAATAACGAAGTTCCATTCAAGTAAATGAAACATTGATAAAGTACAAGCAATGATACTAAAGTGACTACATAATTAAACCTGAACTTATAGAAGACTGGGTGCAAATTAGGGTGAGTATATGTAAAGCTACACAGCTGGATCCATGCATTTAACATGCAAAACCATTCTAAAGGAACATAGCTAGTTACAGTAGCATTGAAATTGTGGGAAACTTTTCCCCCTCCCCCCCATACTACTTGAATTATGCAAATATCAGTGGCATTGTACTGTTGTGTATTGGTGTCGTTAAAGTATAGAAATGTGTGTATATATATATATATAAAAATTCAATTTTTAAAAATTATTACTTAATAGTTATCAGGGTAAAATTATCCGTATTTCCCCAAAATGTGGTACTTCAAGGTTTAATCTATATTGGCGATATACATTTGAATAAAAATGTGATGTACTTGACCAAAATGATTTTACCTTAACTATTTTAATAGGAAAGGTACCAAAGTAGATGTACCATTTTTATTCAAGGAGTCCCTCTAAGTGCCATCACAAATTTCAGGATTGCAAAGTTGATGGTACAGATAGTAACCTGCAATCACTCTCAGCGAGTACATGATAGGTGGAATACTACGTACTGGCTGCCTCGTAAGAATTTTGTCCGAGTTGTGCGTTCCTTGTGAAAGAGCTGAACTGTGGACTGTGGTTCCGGCTCAACGCAGCCCATAACCCAATCCACTAAACAGTCAATTGGTTTCATTGGAAAATCATAAACTGCTATTTGGCTGCTATCTGCTTACAGAGTTATATGTTGAGTGGAATTGGCGTAAATGATAAACTGCCTATCCCATGAAACAATACTAGGAGACAAGATTTGACTTTATAGACAAGAATGATATACTTTAAATCAGGGCTGGCCAAAAGGTAGGTCCCAGATGTTGTGGAACTACGACTCCCATAATGCTTTGTCATTGTAAATGCATGCAAAGCATTAAGTAAGCTGTAGTTTTACAACATTTGTGGATCTACCTTTTGGGCTCCCCTGCTCTAGATTAAAGGACCCCTATAG